AATTTACTATCGACAATTACTCTATTCTTGGCTTACAGTTCTCCTATCCTGAGTGGCAATCAAGCAAGTGGCACGACCGCAATCAGCCAAGAAGATCCCTGGAGCAAACGGCTCGAAGAAGCATTGACATCCAACGATACATTCTTCTCCGAAAACCTATCGCGTGTTCCCGATGGCGCCTCCATAGCTGATACGCCTAGTGCTGGCGCTAGTGTTGAAGAACATCTGCCAATCAGAAACCAGAAAGAAGAAAATCAAATCCCATCAGAAGACGAAGAAGATGAGAACTCGAAACAGAAGAAGAAAAAAATGAACTTACTTTCTTGTTTAGGACCAAGGGCTAAAATATCTTTTAGAAAAAAGAAAAACGCAAAAGCACCTGGAGAAAAACCCGATAAATTAAGTAAGAATAAATAGATTTTTTAAAAGTAAAACACATTCGACAATAAAGGAACATTATATAGGGGATATGAAAACATTTATTATTTGCTGAACTGAAACAATGACAGTTAGTTAGTTAGTTTATTACGAAAAATATATTTGAATAAGAAGTAAATCACCACTGCCCTACAAATAGTTAAGACTAATCGAGGCAGTGTAATGCAAGCGAATAAAGAGGAACAAAAAATCCATTGGTAAACGCCATCTTCAGACATGTTGAATTAGGTTGTAATTTAAACGCTTTGCCTTGTGGAAAATCCAGCTTTCAAAAGAAGATATCATTTCTCATATTCGCAAAAATGCCCGTTGAAAATAAAGAAAGAGAGAAGTCACAGGAATTCCAATACCAGTTTTTTTTAAAGATTTATTTATCGTATTATAACTGCATTATAATTTTTACAATAACTTACAATTTCTCGAGCGCTGATTGGTTATTTTTTTATCATCAATAAGAGGACAGACAGATGAAGCTGACGTCAATGAGACCGCGCTCTTTCCGTTGGTTGTTTTTGATCACTAAAAATGAGAAGTTTTTATCGTTTTTGTTATTGTAAAAAACAAATAGACATCAGTTTTTTATGTGTCTGAMCTCGTATTGACGATAAATTGTGTCACATTGTCAAAGTAGTATGCGGATACCTCGGCTACGCCTCATGGATCCACACTACATTGACCATGTGATGACGCAATTTATCGTCAATAAGAGGACAGACACATAAAAAACTGAAGGCTATTTGTTAATTAGAGGCTACCGTAATAAATATCGAGCAAATAAACTTAGACTACCGAGTAGTAAAAGAGAGAAATGACGGAGGAAAAAGAAACAGAGAAAAGACACAGGTAACCCAAACCCAGGTAATCATATTAAAATTTCGTGACCGTATCATAAAATTGTACTGCTGTTCATAAAAATTGTAGGCTCACAAGATGGCCGACGTACAATAAAAAACATTGGTTCCCAAGATTAGAAAAGATATTTTTGTAATTTTTCACTAGATAAAATACCCTTATGGCCCGTTCAAGACGCGGAAAACAAGCATCCGATCCGTCACCAGATCACAAAGAACCAAGACCAAAAATCTCGAAGTCTCGAGGAAGATCGTCTCGGAGTTCAAAAGATGGAGTTTTGAGTCCAACTATTGTTCTTGCGATCTTAATAATTGTTCCTGTCTGTATTGCTGCATCCTATGGAGGATATGCTTTCTATAATTACAGGAGAACAGCACGTTTGTATACTCCTTTAGATGCGGAGCCCGTGGTAGATAGAAGTAAAGCCGATCCAAGGAGGTTTTGGGGGTCATACAGAYCCAATCTGTATTTTGGAATGAAGTAAGGGAGCTAGAGAGTTAGACAGTAATGATAAAAAGGTAAATTATACACCGTGAAAAGATGAAAAAACTTACTGATGTTTCGGACGCTAGTCCTTCGTCTTTTACTCCGACGAAGGACTAGCGTCCGAAACAGTAAGTTTTTTCATTTTTTCACGGTGTATAATTTACCTTTTTATCATTACTGTTTCATTAGAAACACTAGCAGCTCACACTAGTTTTTAGCTAGTTATATCTTCTAAAATTTAGAGTTGTTCCACTTTCTTTTAAATACTACATTATTTCTTCTTTTAATTGTTTTAAAAGAAGCTATTTCTCCAGCTAATTATAGAATCTTTTTAGTAGCATAGTGTTTTGAATAAACTTAAACTTAAAAGCTTACGTCGTCTTATAAAGTTCAATTTTGATTTAATTGTTGTCTTATTATTTTAC